TGTGTAAGTTTAAGGTGTACAGAATAATGGTTTGACTTATATATATTGTGAAATGATTACCACGATAAGTTTAGTTAGCACCCATCATCTCATTTAGATACAATAAAAAGAGAAAACAAAATAATTTTTAAAAATCTGTTTTCCTTGTGATGAGACTCTTAGACTTAACAACTTTCACATATATCATACAGCAGATTGAACTAGAGTCCTCATGCTGTGCATTATATCTCTAGTACTTATTTATCCTGTAACTGGAAGTTGTGCATTTTGACCACCTTTCTCCAACTCTCCCCACCCCACCTTCTTCCTCTGGTAACCACAAAACCACAAGTCTGACCTCTTTTTCTATGAGTTTGGGGTTTTTGTTTGTTTGTTTGTTGTAGATTTTACATATATATGCGATCATATGGTACTTGTCTTTCTCTGTCTGACTTATTTCACTTCGCATAATGTCGTCAAGGTCCATCCATATTGTCCCAAATGGCAGAATTTTCTTATTTTTTAATGGTATTATATGCCACAACTTCTTTATCTCTCCATCTGTGGATGGATACTTGGATTGTTTCCATGGTTGGCTGTTGTAAATAATGCTGCTATGAACAGGGGAGAGGGGATGGGGGGAGCGGTCCAGATATCTTTTCAAGTTAGTGTTTTTATTTCCTTTGGATATATTCCCAGAAGTGGAATTGCTGGATCATATGGTAGTTCTATTTTTAATTTTTGAGAATCCTCCATACCATTTTCCATAGTGGCTGCACCAGTTTATAATCCCACCAACAGTGCACGAGAGTTCCCTTTTCTCCACATTCACTCCAGCAATTGTTCTCTCTTGTCTTTTTTTTTTTTTTTATCATGACCATTCTAACAGGCCTGACGTGATACCTCATTGTGGAACTGGGGCAGATTGGCAGACATTACTTCTTGGGGGGACTCAGAGAAATTATTTGACTACTTGCCTTGAATAGAGTAGGAATTGAGGAAAGAAGTGCCCCACAGTATTTATAAGTATAAAATATCTTCTAGTTGTACCAGGTTGGATCAAATGAGACAAAGGACTTTAAAGTGTTTTGTAAATGGTAAAGCATAAATCAAAAGCAAGATTGCCTTTTCCATCAGAAAACACCTCAACATTTATTTTGTGCTCAGATGAAAATTTAATGTTTAAAATTGCTGATCCGGGAAAAACAAAACTAAACAAAAATGGGACTTAGAGAATTATCAATAAAACAATTCAAAAGTTATAATATTATATCATAATCAGCAACTGTGTGTACCTCTGTAGGAGGAGACTTCAAGTTCTTTGGGTCCATGATAAATCCCACAGAACTAGCTCTGTGACTCCAGCCCCAACATCACTCTCATGCCGAATGGACAATGGAAGCTTTCTTTCCAGCTGTAACTACTCAGCTATTTTGTATCAAGCTTCTGCCCTGTCCAGAATCCTGGGTGTCTCCAATTTGGTTGAATCTCAGGGACAGTAGTCAAAAGAATTCTGAGACTTGACTAAACTCTTAGTAGCTCCTGCAACACCACCCACCAATATCACCTTTAGACCCCTGCTGCCCTGGGTGTGGGTCGCAGATTGGCAGTATCTCTAATCACCCGGGAATTTGTTAAAAATGCAAATTTATGACATCCCCCTCTCCATTGAAATTTGTATGTTCACCAAATCCTAGTAACCTGTATGCACATTAAAGGATGAGTAGCTTTGGTCTAAACTAGCGGGTCCTCAACCTTGTTGTGCATCAGAATCACCTGGAGGCAGCCTCGGCTGTTGGACCTGATCTGGAGGCCACAGCCTGAGAACCACTGCTCTGGGCTCCACAGCTGGATGACTCACAGAGACTGAGTGGATCCTTCCCCTTTTACTGAGTAGGATAGAGAATTCCTACACCGTCCAGCCCAGCCTGGGACGAGACTCCAGGAAAGCTAACACTTCTCAGAGACCGCGACCAGGGCCTCTCCCCTCGGGTTGTTTTAATACTGCCTCCTGTTTAAACAGAGCCGTGGACGAGAGGTTCTAGGGCCTCTGTACCAAAGCCAGAGTAAATGTATGGCAGAGGCTCTATCCGGGAATGTGTTTTGCCCACCTTTAAAGCAAACAGAGCCTGGGGTGCTGTGGCGGAGAGCTGTGGGAATGGGAGGTCCCTATCTGAGAACAGGACGGGGCAAGTTGGTGACCCTGCACCACCCCTTTCATGGAGGGTTCTTTATAGAGGCCCTTCGAGACCAAGGCTTTTTTCTTCCAGGCCTCCTTGGGAACGCTCAGGGCTCTTAAGTCCACTTGTGCCCTGCACGGCACAGCAAAGCAACCACATACCCCAGTGCAGAAGCACACTGTGAGCACGCCCGGGCCACGCCCCGCTCCAAAATCCACACACTTTGGATCTGCTGCTTCTGTGTTATGAAGATTCACCTAGCTGCAGAGGAAGGAAATCTCAGGCAAGCAAAATTACCTTCAAATAGAAACATTTAACCAAAGGAGGACACAGGAGCCATTGTGAATAGTACAGCTGAGTGTTGACCGGTAAAAGTTTGGTCAGCTCTACCCAAGCTGCCCATTGGCTGGGAGGAGGCAAACTGTTTTCACCCAGATTGTCTCACAAATTATAAACTTACATCACAGATAAGCTTCAAGTAGAAATAATAACTTCCATTGTAGAATGCTTATTTTGTGCTAAATGTTTACAGGTATTACTTTAATCCTAGCTATGAGGATAAGATCAGTTCTCCTCATTTTACAGATATGGAAACTGAGGCACAGAATCCTTACCTATTTTGTCCAAAGTTACAAAGGCAGTTTGGCATCCAAACCTGGGCTCTCAACTGTAGACCACATGCAGCAGGTTCCAAAACAACTGCTTGGTGTGGTGGGGAAAGAGTCAACCATTATTGGGCACAACAGGATTTTTTTAAAAAAGCAAAACTTTTGCCATAGCCGGATTGGCTCAGTGGTTAGAGCGTTGGCCTGAGGACTGAAGGGTCTCGGGTTCGATTCCGGTCAAGGGCACGTACCTCGGTTCGATCCCCAGTCCTGGTCGGGGGGCATTTGGGAGGCAACCAATCAATGTGTCTCTCTGACATTGATGTTTCTCGCTCTCTCTCCCTTCCACTTTCTCTCTGAAAAGCAATGGAAAAAATATCTTTGGGTGAAAATTAAAAAATAAATAAATAATAAAAATACAAAACTTTTTTTAAGCATTGGAACTTTGCTTGCTTGCTTATTTATTCATTGGCATGAGGGTAGGAGACAAAAATCTAGCTAGGAACCCTGTTTTATGAAACAGATCAAAGTATAGCTCTTCCTGGTGAAGCCAGGCAGAGACCCTGCACCCCTGTCCACTCTCACACCCCCTCCTCCACCACACCCACTCCCACCCTGTATTCACTCCCAGGGAGCAGTTCCACCTCTGTGGGCTCTGGCCTCAGTATTTCCAAGCCCAAGTCTACTCCCAGCCCTCTTCCCTCCTGGGAGAACTAAGAAGCTTCTCCCTAGTTCCAGTCCTGAGGGACAGAGGCAAAGCATGCCACATGTCCTGGAGGGGAACGGTCCTGGGAACACATCACCTTTGAGAGATGAGCCGAATAAGTGTGATGAATTTTACTGAGCACCTAGAATTATAGTTAGTAGTTGAAGGACATGGTGGGGGAGTGGTTTAGAAAGTATCATGACAGTGAATCCAGGAAGAATGTTGGGTCTGAACGTCTGGTGTCTACCTGTGTACAGGTGCAGTCCAGCTTGGAACTGCGTGCAGGCCCAATCGTGTGCATTAAGCATTAAATGGTTGGCATTTGCCTAATCTGAGGCATGAATGGATTGGGTATGTTTTGGGGGAATGGGCACAGTGCTATCTCAAGTACTAGTTCAAGGAGTTCCCACACCATCTCTGTGCCTGAAAATGTTAGTGCCCGAAGCTTGGGTAGTTCCATACCAAGCCACCATCCACAGCACTCTCAGGGAAGGACCTCAGGTAGCTCTGCCCAAGGACCAAAGTGGCAAGTGACTTGCCATTCTCTCCATGCCATCAAGAAGGCCATGGCTGCCATTCTGGGCCACTGAGCTAGCTGGGCTGATCGGGGTCAGCCCCAAGGAGAGAACAGCATAGCCAGATTCTTCTACACAAGCACTGAATGTCTAGAGTGGCAGGAATTCAAGAGGCGATGTTGGTCCCTTTTATGTGGTCCATTCAATCAATGACTAGATTGAATGGACAGCATTTGGTGAGTGGGGGGATTCACCTTAAAAAAAAACACTAAAAAAATCACTTTAAACTTAAATCACCTTTAACATTCTGGCAGATATTCTTCCAGTCTTTTTTCTTTTGCAATTTTTCTTTTACGTAGCTGTGTAAATTGATTTTGAGTTTTGTTTTTCTTTTCCCTACCTGTATCATGAGCATTTCTTCATGTGTTCACTACTTTTCATAAGCAGCAAGTAATCTTGAGTGAAGTAAGTAAATTTACCTGCACCTTGGTTTCTTCTTGTGTCGAAATAAGCCAGTGGTTCTCCAATTTTATTGCACCATAGTCACCTGGAAGGCTTTTTAATACACAGATTGTGGGGCTCCACATCCAGAATTTCTGATTCCGTGCGTCTGGAGTGGGGCCTGGGAATTTGCATTCCCAGTAAGTTCCCAGGAGATGCTGATGCTGCTGGTCGGGAAACCACCAGGGAGAACCAGTGAAATGAGGAGATTGAGTTGTGGGATTTCCCAGGTTACCACTGGTTTCAAAATTTAAGTGTTTTATAGTTTTCAATTTAAAAAAAAAAATCCAAGTCTTAAAATACATGAGTTTTCTGAGCTTTAACAAAACCCCATGTTTTTTAAAAATATAAAAGAACATCATCTACCATTTACAAGTAATTGTTTCCACTTGTAGCTCACATGTGTTCCATACCTAGTTCTCTTTGAAGTTACCTGGATTTTTAAAAGGATATCTTTGAAGAACAGTCAGGCTTATATCTAATACTTTATTGTTTTTTCTTTGCCCTTACATAGTTCCATATGTACTGAAGAGCTGTGCAGAATTTATAGAGACTCATGGCATTGTGGATGGAATTTATCGGCTTTCGGGAGTCACCTCAAACATACAACGGCTACGGTGAGCTAAAACAATAGCCCCCAACAGAATTCCCTCATAATTCTCTCTCTGTCCGTATTTCTGTCCGCAGGTATTGGGAGTATTAAGAACCTAAGGGAGTGAGGGAAGGGTGGAGGGGCAGAAGACCAAGTGCTGATGTCTTTAGAAGCCTGTTCTTAATCTAATCAGGAAGTTCTAGTCTGATGTAATTCTTTCCAACCAAAGCTCCTGAGGGCTTTTAATCTATTTCTTTGTCTTATACTAGATTTACCCTTGTTGGGTGGATTCGATTGAACTCAAACGATTTTAATTACGAGCTAGGGAAATCTGATTTATTATTATTCACTTGCTTACCCAAAGCTCAGTTAGATCCCATTACATAGTGTTCAGAACTTGGAGATGGATGAGTTTTTCTGTTGGCACACACTCAACCTTTGAAATTTCATCTGCTCAAGAACTCAGGAGTCTGCATGAAAGTGTGTTTCTCTAATTGATGCTGGTATTTTAAAAATTATTGATAGATGAATAATTTCCAATTCTATGGGTTTATCCTAAGCAATTCTAAAATTTATCCTTGAATTTTTTGGAAGACATTTCTATCACTTTGAATTCAGAGTACAATAACCTTCACACTAAACACAGATATGTGTGCATGTATTTTATACATATTACCTATAAAATAAAGGAAGTATATACACACTATATAGAGAGCATACAGGGTAGGTTTACAATTGTTATATGAAAAGTAATACAATAATTAATAAATAATACAAGAATAAACTGTGTTTTGCATACTCACAACTATAAATCTACTTTTGCCCCATGTACAAAGCATGTACACTATATTATATATACATATACATATGTATATATACTATTCTGTGACTAAAACAATGGGTTATGTACTTTAACATGAAAAAGAACATATTTTATTAGGTGTTATTTTTATGTATTTATTATATGTTTTTAGTTATAACTTAGACTTTTAAAACAATAAAAACATTCTTGTGACAAGATTATTATGTAAAATTTAATAGATTGGGCAAGTAATTCAATTTTTGCCTTCTTCCTCCTATTTGGTTTTCTGCCCCTCTTCAAATCTCAATTATAATAAAATGATACTAAAGGAACAAAACATCCTTTTTACTCCTGGAGAAGTGATAGCTGTTAAAAACAAAAAACAAAACTGCTTTATTGCAACCATAGATTTTAACAAATCTATGTGAGTACATAATTTCACTAATTAGTATGAAATTTTTAGAGTTTCAGCAGCAAATACTTTTGAATGGCTTACTCTTAGCCCTAAAATATACAACACAGTAGTTGATATCATGGAAGAACACTTAGGCCAATTATTTTTCACTTGAGGACTGACCTTAGCCTCACAAGGGACATTTTTGGCTAACTAAGTGAATAAGTTTTAGATTGTTCTTGTTCTGCCCTCTTAGAAAAACACATGCCTATGAATTTACAAGGCCATTGGCTTTCTTTTCAAGTCTCCACTCATTTTCTTTTGGGTTCTGACAGCCTCAGGGATTTCCCTGCCCCTGTTGAAGGGGCAGAAGCAGACTGCAGGAGGATGGGTGAGCTGATTTGAAACGCTGGCTCTGGGAGTCCCGTTGACTTTGTCACAACTTGGTTGACCAAGTGAATAATCTCAAGAAGCCTAACTTCTCTTCTGTAGCAAAGCTCTAATTTGTCACTTTTTAAACAGAGTTTTCATGGTAAGCATATATTGAGTTAGGGTATTCATATGACCTCATTAGGAAATGTTTTTTAATTAGAAACGAGGCTTGGAAGCCAGTGATGTTCCCAAACACCCCAGTATAGGTTGTTTAAGAAGATAATTATTAGCTCTTCCATCCTGTGGGAATCACTATCAGGCAGCCTAGAAGGTTCCATCTAGCATCAAAGAGATCACTGATTAAAGTTCTCAAACCTTGGGTTTGAGTCTCCAGATAAAACAAGTTTGTTGACATGAGTATATAAGTGATAACGATCTGACTCACCCTGGTTTTGGTCTCTCCTCCAAGAAAGAGGATTTTATTTAGAACAATATTTTGGAAAAACTGAAATCTCAACAGGCTTTTTTTGGCAAATTGTTTTCATATTTCCCCCACTGTTCACAACTGAGACTGTGAACATAATGCCATGAGAAATCCATTTGTAAGTGGGCATTATGTCCTTCTAATTACAGCTGCTCTGGCAGGGAAGATACAGACCTGAAGTGGAAGTCTTCCCATAGCTGCCTTGTGCCTGAAATAGAAGGTCTTTTTGTATCAGGGTCAAACATATAGTCAGATCAGCAGTTTAGGGTCTTTTTTACCCTTAATCAGCCAAACAACTGCTGACATGGAACACATGTTCCCAAGATTGTTATGTCTCTGTCTGTGTTGTTTCAGGCAAGAGTTTGGCTCAGATCAATGTCCAGATCTGACAAGGGAAGTGTACCTCCAGGACATCCACTGTGTGGGCTCTCTTTGCAAGCTCTACTTTAGGGAGCTGCCCAACCCCCTCCTGACTTATGAGCTCTATGAGAAATTCACGGTAAGTGTTTGGATTTCCATTATGGTTACTGGGTGGGATGCATGGATGGGCCAAGGAGGGTTTCAGCACTAAAATAACAATAATAATACTCACCAGATGGATGGCATTATCTTAGCGTGGTGACGGACATAGGATGGTATAGTGAGGAAAGCAGGGTAATGGGACTGTTTGCTAAATTTTTCCTTCCTTAAATTTTCAGAATCATGTTTGTTTGTTTTAAGAGCTGGGTTAAATTTTCTCCAGGTTTATTTAACCAAGTGTATCTCATTGCTTAGGGAGGAAACTAAGAACCAGAGAAGTGAACTGACTGGCTCAAGGTTACACAGCAGGACAGGAACCTGAAACTAGATGCTATACCCACTGCTAGTTCAATTTTATCAAGCTATTCTTTCTGTGTTTCTTTTGGGGGTTGGGCAAAGAGGTAAGCGAGTAGAGAAGGGAGAGAGAACAAATAGAAGTCAAGAGAGAGGTTAGAAAGCTGGAAAGAGAAAAGAATCTTGGAAAAGCAGCCAAGAGGGAGTGCTGGATAGACTGGTGAGTTGAGTTGGTGGAGAATAGATGGGCAAGAGCAGAACATCTAAACAGCAGCTGTATGGTCCCCAAATAGGGCACCCATAGTAAAAGGAGAAAGGAGGATGAGTGCTTAAAGGATACCTGTAGAGAGAGCATTTAAAATAGGGCTTGAACATTTGCTGCAGGGGTGAAGGTAGAGAGTTGTGTCTAACCAAGGTTGAGGTTCAGCCAGCAATAGTGGGGTGAGGAAGATGAGGGTGTATGCAAAGGAGTGATTGAAAGAATTGACCATGGAATTTTGTCTGAATTAGAAAGGAAATGAGGGCATAAAGCAGGTGTACGACAGTGAAAAAGTAGATCAATGGATTATTCATCCCAGTGAGGTCAATAGACTGTTGGAATGGGTGGTCAGAGGGGATGTTTGAAATGAAGGTTATGGGAGAATTGCTAGTATCGGTAGGGACCAGACATAGGCTCTAACCATAGAGAGGAATCTCTCTCCTGGCTCCTGTAATAAACTTATTTTGAGCACATAAAAGGTTCTTCAATTTGAGATGATCTAGGAATGAGTAAATGCTTTTTTAAAATTGGGCTTCGGCCATTAAAATATATTTAAGAGTTTTTAATGGCAGGGGGAAACACTCATAGTGGTAATTGGAAAAATATATACACAATTGTATATTAAGACATTATTAAAAAGAAAGATGGTGCGAGATTAATAACCATTCATTTCAGTGATGGGGTTATAGATAGTTTTCCCTGCTTCTTTCAAAATCATATCCACTAAAAATATGTTATATTTTTTAATGAAAAAAAAAATTAGGCCAAAACCCACAAAAAAACTTGGGCATAAATATTGACCACTAGAGACACCAACATATACCAGCTGATGTGGAAGTACCAGTGGTTAGGGGACCTTGAGATCTAAGCAGAAGGCAAATGAGCCTCCACTCTTGAGTGGCTAAGTCATAAATAACAGTAGGCTCTGTCCATCGGACCACAGATGAGTCTTTCCCAGGAACCAGGAGGAAAGGTTGTGGGCCTGATGTGAGTCTGCCAGATTATAATCACCATCACCATATATGAGTGTTTCCTCATTTTAAAAATAATCATACTCAATAAAAGACAATTTTGAAAATGGAGGAAGGTAGGAAGACACCCTTGCTCTCTCCTCTTAAAAACCAAAGACAACTGCAATTAACATATGGGTATTTCCTTTACTTTTTTAACTCTTTGCACAGTGTTTTTCCCATGTTTTGTTTTTCCAAATCAAAATAAAACTTTATTGCAAAAATTAAAGCAATACAGAAAAGTATAAAGGAGAATATATAAATTACCTGAAATCCCACACCCAGGCATATCTGCTATTAACATTTTAGGAGACATCCTTATAGATCTCTCTCTCTTTCTCTCTCTCTCTCTCAACACTGGGTATTTTCAATTTGTTAAATTATTTGCCAATTTGAATCAACCAAAAATATATCTTGTTGTTGTTTTAATTAATACATAAGGCTTTATTGTTTGTTTTCTACATTTTAATCCTCTTAACCGGTACAATAGTATCACCCTTGAATATGATAGAATATCATCATGTTCAAGAACTGAATGAATCTAACTTATTTTAACTAAATTTCATTCTATGATAGTTGAGGGTAGATAAGAATTTTTGTCTGGAAATTTCAGAAATAAAGTTTCTTCTTAGATCTTGTTTATAGACTCAGAACAAAACCCATTTATCTCTCCCCCTCTGTTCCCTGACACTGCTAATCATTCTGTTCTCCCACAGACACAGAAAAATACCAAAGCAATATTATTGTCACTTGTCATCAAATTTTAAGGAAATCTAATGTTATATTTAAACAGTTTATTGACACTAAGAAATAAAATAAGAATGTTTCGTGACAACTGACTTCTACATAGGTAGAACCTAGTGAAGTTAATTATGTTGAAGAATTTATCATTTAATAGAGTTCTTTGATCACAGTAATGAATTAGAATATAAGCAAACCTTCTTCAGAGTCATGGAAACAGCTCTATTACTTTGTCACACATTTGTATAATGATTTATTAAAACCCACTTGCACAGCTAAAATAAAATAATGTTTCAATGGAATAATAGAATTAGAAAAATATTAATGGAAAAATAATAATAGCTGCCATTTATTGAGTGCTTATTATGTGATAAACTTGTTACAAATATTATTTAATTAAATATTCAAAATAACTCCATGAAGTGGGTTTTATTGTCTCTTTTATGATAAGTAAATTGAGGCTCAGAGAGACTCTTGCCTAGGGTTGTATAGCTAGTAAACAGAAGTAAAGATCTAACATTCTTAGAACTACCACATTATTTTAAAATAGAGTTAAAAGCTCTTAAGTATGCTCATGTATTAAATAACTTAATATACTATAAACAAAGCATGCTAAACTAACAAAGGAACATTCAGTAGAGTTAGGAAAATTGGACAACTGTGGTGAGACTGGCTTTTTAATAGTTTTCTATTGGAAGTGTAAATTATCTGGGCATCCAGAAAGTCACTTGAAATTAGTCAAGAAGTCCTAAAATGCTCATATTTTTTAATACAAAACTCTATTTCTAAGATTCCATTGTAATATAATAATACATGGACAAGAAAATGATTTATGAGTATTTTATTGTAATATTATTTATAATATCAAAATTTTGGGCATATCTATGTGTCTAACAATAAGGGATGGGTTAAATAAATGACAATAAACCTATTGTTTTCAATTCTGTGTACCTGTGAAAAGTTACATTTCTGAAGTTTATTTAATGGCCATAATACAAAGTTAAATGGAAAAAGTAGTATATGGAACTAAACAGGAAATGATGCCAGTGTTCATATTTGGTGCTGGGAAACCTGGGCAGATTGCTCTCTTATGCTTCACATGTGAACAAGTTAATAGTGGTTATATCTGGGTAGCAGGATAGGAGGTGATTTTTTTCCTCTTCATATTTCTTATTTTAGTTTTGGGTACATGTGTTAGTTAAATGTGGCTACTGTAACAAATTACCACAAACTTGGTGGCTTAAACAACAGAAATTTAGTCTCACATTTTGAGAATCCAGAGTCAGAAATCAGTTTTACTAGGCTGAAATTAAGGTGTCAAAGGGTCTGTGCTTCTTCCAGAGGCTCTAGGGGGAAACCTGTTTCCTGCCTCTTCCAGCTCTGGTGGCTGCTGGTATTCCTTGGCTTGTGGCTGCATCACTCCCATCTCTGCCTCCATGATCATATTCCCTTTTCCTCTTCTGTCTGTGTCAAATCTTCTTCTTCCTTTCTCTTATAAAAATACCTGTGACTGCATTTAAACTCAGCAACACTAGTGTTCCCCACAATGGAGGTATGGTCCTCAGATAGTACTATCCTGGAAGTGTGGCCCAAATGTGGCTGTGTGGCCGTGTGACATTTTCTTTCTTTTTTTCCTTTTTTTTTTTTAAAAAATAATTTATTGATGAGGGGAGGGAGGAGAGAGAGAGAGAAACATAGATTTGTTGGTCAGTTTTTGTATGTGCCCTGACCAGGCATCAAACCTGAAACCTTGGCATATTGGGATGAGATTCTAATTAACTGAGCTCCCTGGCTAGGGCCTATTTGGCATTTTCAAATGCAAAGCAAAATGTGGACTCATTCACTTATTTCATTCATCAAATGTCTGTTGGGCACCTACTATGTACACTGTGTATGACAGGCACACCTCTAGATGCTGGGGATTTCATGGTGAGCAAGACAGGTAAAATCTCTGCTCTTGTAAACTTACATTTAAATGAAGGAGGTAGATGATAAACAGATTTAAAGCATAGCTTTGTAAGTTTTACTGGTTCAAGGTCCATGCACCCAATGCTTCAAAAGGCCAATATTTCAAGATGTCAGTGTTTGAGATAAGGAAAGGCATATTGATCCAGAAGGCACCACATTCAGTAAGATTGGGGAGAGGGGGGACTTAGAGCTTCCCTAAATCCATCTTAAGAGAGCTCAGAATTCAGGCTTCTTTTATGTTCAGGGAAGAGAGAATGGGCAGGGCAAGAGGTATGTGATGATGACAAACCCCAGACATCTAGGCTCCAAATCTCTAAATCTCTTTTTACCTTCGCACCCTCATTAGAAAGCCCAGTCTTTGAGGCTTCTGCATATCTTGGCCAAAATATCAAGCCTTAAGCAGAATTCTTCAATAATTAGCATATCTATAGCAGGAGCTATTCCCTGAAGGCCACGGGAGAAATGCAGACTAGAATTAAGACAGAGTCAAAGAGAGCAAGCACTTCATTCTTACAAATAAGGAGAACTGTTGATAAATACGATGAGGAAAATTAATGCAGGTAAGGGGAAAGAATGATGGGGACTTCTATTTTGGGTAGGATAATCAAAGCTCTCTCTATAAGGTGATATTTGAACTGAGGCAAGGGTGAAGCGAGGGAACAAACTGTGCAACTGTTTGGGGGAAGAGGGTGTCACGAAGAACCAGCAGGAGCAAAGGCCCTAATGGAGGACTTGCTCGAGCTTGCTGGCGGGAATATGTGGAGGCCAGTGTGGCTGTCGGGGAGCAAGCAAGGAGGAAAAGCCGGGACACAGGGAGTTTGCAGGTGGCCCGACCCTGCAGTCCTGCTTGCCTCCATGGTGTGACAAGGATGGATGGGCAGCACGGCTGCCTGGAAGGACACGCGGTGGTTGCCTCTGGAGACTGCGGTCAGCAGTTGGAAGGAAGACTGACTTTCCTCTGTGTATTCCTTCCGAGGCTCTGCATTTTCAAAATTATGTGTATGAGTTACTTTTTTATCTAATTTCTTAAAGTAATTTAAAGTAAAAATTGTAATTTTGACATAAGTAATACAAAATCAAAGGCAAAGGCTGAGTTGCAGCTGGGGTACAGTTGAAAGGAAGAACCACAGTTGTTTGTCCACCCTGCTGGCAGGGCTGCCTGGGGGAAAAATAAGTTTGCAGTGACCGGACTGTTCCAAGAGAGAAGCAGGGACTAGAGAGCTTCTGAATAGGTCTGGGGTGTGATGGGGAGGGGCTGTGAATAATGAAATAAACGCCAGGCCCAAATGGGAGCTGCGGGCATCAGGGGTGAGCCCGCCCTGCCTCTTAGAGAACAAAGATGACTAATGGCTTCCTAAAATATTAAAGGAACTTTCCATGTGGTCTGTTAAATTCATCTACACCTTTATTCCCCAGATACATTTTTAGAAAGGGTGTGTGTGTGTGTGTGTGTGTGTGTGTGTGTGCAAGGTTTGCCAAGCTCATCCTAGCTTTGCAAGGAGAGGAAGAGGCCTCCCACCCCTCCCCCTTTGCGGGATAGAATGTGGGAGGGTCCACAGGGCATTCCATGCCCCTCCTTCCCCTTCTCCTTCTCTCTCTTCGCTCCCTTTATGAAGCTCTCCCTTGGCAGCCAGGGTCCTCCCCACAAATCTGTTTTCTCAGTGACCACTCCCTGGAAGAAAGCAGAGGCGTCAGGGTGCTTACTCCTGGCCCCATTCTTGCCCTCACCCTCTACATCCCACATGTCTGAAAAAGTGAGGATTGAGGCAGAGAATCGCCTGTGGGGCTCTATTCTCAGGCTTGCAAATGCACCAGAAGCTTGGGACACCTGTGACTGTGACCCCCCTTTCCACTTTTCTCCCCACTTACGGTTAGGAAAAAAAATATCAAGTTTCCCCATGTAGAGAATTTTGATTGTCTTTAAAAAATGGTAAGCTTCTGTATATGTATTTTACTTCAGTTAAACAAAAAAGGCAAAAAAAATAATAATAATAACCTTACTCGATAAAGCCCTGGCATGGAAGGAAATGGAGCATAGTCAGTCATTCAAGTCTGGAGGGAATGCCTGTGTGCCAGGCAGGGACTCATCACTTCCTGGCACTTACAGAGCTTACGTCTAGCAAGGGAGACAGACAATAAACAGTAAACCTATCAAATAAGCACATTATATAATGTATGTAATGGTGCTGAGTGCTGTGGGGAAAAAGTGGAGACAAGTGAGGGGGGTTGGGAGGGCAGCTGGGGCAGTGCCTTGGAGTTCTCTCTGGTTATAACGTAACAGACACAGCAAGTGTGGCCTCGCTAGGGCCTGGCAAACAGAAGGTGCCCCATGAAGTTAATTTCCTTCCACTTCCTGCGCCTAAAAATTCTCATAACTGTAAGTTTGAACTTCACCCTTTATACCTAAAAATTCTCATAACTGTAAGTTTGAACTTCACCCTTTATACACAGCAAGCAGATGGCAGCTACATTCTGAACAGAGGTGAACTACATAAGAAAACCACATCACAGTTAGGATCTTATCTTGGTGGTATTGCAGGGGCACTACCTACCAAATTAAAGAATATATTTTATGATTATACTTTTCATTATAAAGGGGTGGGCAAAAGGAGATTTACAGTTATGAGTACACGGAAAGCACAATTTATTCTTGTATTATATACTTTTCCATACGAAAAGCTGTAAACATACTTTTGCCAACTCCGTATATAAATATAAAGCAAGTTTCCAGCACTGGGAGACAATACAAGACTGTGTAAGTCGTATATGCCTTTGGATTCAGGGTCGTGAGGATTGAAATCAGCTCAGGAGCTCCTTTTAAAGTCTTCTTTGGTCTGGGTGAGGTGACATGGGTTATATGCATATGAAAGCACTCATGGAGCTGTAGCTTAAGACTTGTACATTTTTAATATATGTAAATTATACCTCAAAAATAAAAGAAAGTTGTGATCGCTATTGACCTTGAATTTAGATACTGCCCCCATGCTGGCAGTTCTCCAGCACTCAACCGTGTACTGGGAGGGAGCCCTTGAGCCTGGGCACAAGCAGGGCAGGTTCTCGTACAGGGATGCAGGGGAATCTGCCCAGGGGCACCTGCATTGTGGGCAAGCCACAGACAAGCCTGTGGTCATACTGCCTTTACTGATGTCCCTGTCTTAAGGGCCCTGGGCTGGGGTGGGACAAGGAGGGGACACAAAATATCCACAGGAAACAGAGAGCCAGTCTTGGCAAGGCCACTGGGTCTCAGGGACAAAGCTCTTATCTGGCTGAGAAGGCACATCTTCCCTGCTTCCCAGCATCTACAACCAGCAGCCACTGAGCAGCAGCAAGGCCATGGAACAGTCTCAGGCTAGACGGGAAGTGGTTATTTGCACCCAAGAGGACAGTTGGCTGAGTGAACACGGAGCCACCCTGTCATCTCCAGCTCACCCTGCCTCCCTCTGTCTCCAGCTCTTTCTCTCTCCCAGAGTCTCTGTGACTCTTTCTGCCACACAAGACACATTCAAGATTCTACACCTTCTTTACCAGATGCCTAATACCCATCTGAGGGGCACGGAGACCCGAATGACCCACAGGTCTCCGTGGGTGCAATGTTAGATGCTTCACATCAGGAACCCTCAGAGATTTCAGTTGTTTCTTTCCGTTGTGCCCCTGCAAGAATGAGCTCTAAGTATGGTCGGATGCTGCAGCTCCAGAAGCCTAAATAAAACCAGCAGACACAGGCGTGTGTCCGCCGTCTCAGGCACTCACTGGGTGCTTCATGTTCTTCTCTGCAGGAGGCAGTGTCGCGTTGCCCAGAAGAAGGCCAACTGGCCCGAATCCAAAATGTTATCCAGGAGCTTCCCCCATCCCATTATAGGTAAGAATCCTTAGTGAAAGAGGGTCTCTGCCTGTCAGTGTGGTATAATACCACAGACACAGGCTGGCGTCATAAAAGGGAACAAATTCAGTGGAGAGTGGCTTTCCTGGGGCATTTTGAGGTGGGAGAACAGGTCACTTTTATCAGTGAGCTGGTGTCTGACTAGGGACATTGATGAGAAGAGGCAGCCCATGTCCCAGCTACTTGCAGGATACCCCTCAAAGTCCCACCTTGATTCTGATCGCACAAGAATATCCTCACAGTAACATCCAAATCTATGGAAACCAAAATGGTTTTAAAACAGGCTCTGACTGTAGCTCTTGAGCATTTGGCTGACTGATCTCTCTAGTTGAGCATCAGTACCATCCCTTACATCATCCCATCCTTTCATTTCATTCTCACAAATTAGCCTCTATTCTTACAACCTTTCCCAGTGTTCCCTAAGCCTGCCCATCTATTACCATGGGCAGATTTTAATGTGGTATAAGAAAGAACTTTCTAGCAATAATAGATGTTTTTCATCCAAGACCACACCCCTTCCCCACCCTGGGCTAACATGCCAAGGGCCAAGAAAATTGCCTCTATCAATCTTGATATCTTTGTGATATTCCTCCAAAATTCATGAGATAGAAATATTTATTTAGTTTCTCAAATCCAAACTTAGAAATTATCTCCAGACTTCAAACAGGCACTAAAGTTTTTTTACTTTGTCTAAAAACAAAACAAAACAATGAATCGTTACAGGACCTTGGAATACCTGATTCGACACCTGGCCCACATCGCCTCCTTCAGCAGCAAGACCAACATGCACGCCAGGAACCTGGCCCTGGTGTGGGCACCAAACCTCCTCAGGTAACCACCACACCCTCACCTTCTCACCACCCCAGTGGGCTCAAAGCAGCCCACTGACTAAAATAAAGACTGGGTTCTTCAAAATTGAAGCCCCTTGAAGACAAACCTGTAGCTAAGTGATCTTATGTAGCACATATGAATTAAAAGTGATTTTAGTCTGGCCGGCATGACTCAGCGGTTGAGCATCGACCTATGAACCAGGAGGTCACGGTTAGATTCCCTGTGGGGGCAACATACCAGGGTTTTAGGCTCGATCCCCAGTGGGGGGGGGGTGCAGGAGGCAGCCGATGAATGACTCTCTCATCATTGATGTTTCTGTCTCTCTCCCCCTCTCCCTTCCTCTCTCTGAAATCAGTTTTTAAAAAACAACATTAAAAGTGATTTTAAAAGCTTAAGTTCTTTGCCTGCTAACCAGGAAACTCTGGGTTCCAAAGGCATTCTCTGGCTACCACCAGGGTGTGACTAAAGTAATGGGTCTGTATGTTACAATTTCTTGAAAAGACCTTTCTTGTCTCCGTGACTCATTGGCTTTTGTTGCTTTTGGTGGGGTCACAGCTGGCTATAACCTGAATCAGCTGCTTCTTGTGACTTCAAAAACGATGAGCTGCCCCATAGAACAATTGGGTGGGTGTGGAAGGAGATCTGATAAAAAAAAATCAATTCCCATATATTCACTAATAGAGTCTTGCAGTGTATAATTCCTGGTAATTGTTGGAGATTTGTCCAGAGTGTTGGGCTTCACAGCCTTTGGAGAGTCCCTTTTATTGATCTTAGGAGTTAAAATACTCTATAGATTAACAAACTATATACATTGAAGAGATGGGGCTTGTACAAAAGGCCCACTGGCTCCCTCTTACTGCTCTAGGACTGACTCACCAAACTGAATGTGTTTCTTCCACGATTTAGGTCCAAAGAAATTGAAGCCACTGGTTGCAGTGGAGATGCAGCCTTCCTCGCTGTCCGGGTCCAGCAGGTGGTGATTGAGTTCATATTGAATCATGTGAATCAAATCTTCAACAGTGGCGCACCTGGGTCACTGGAGGATGATGGTAATGGCTCCTCCTGGCACACACCCCACCAGCCCATGCTCCTTTCTTGCCTTAGTCATGGGGCCCAAGAATAAGTTAGGGTGGCCTTGGTTCTAGCTCTGAGTGTTGGTGCTGTGTGTGTGCTGATTACCATGTATGCGTCAGTGTCTGGGGATCGTGCATATAAACATCTGTATGTGTGCAGCAAAGATGTGGTGTGTTTGCAGGTGGCTTTAGCATATTTCTGATCGGCTGCATGCTTGGACTATCCTGTGAATGTGGCATAGTAAACTGTAATAGTGCTTTATTGGTTTTAGTAAGTTCTTAAACTCTTCAAGTTATTATCTAGAGGCACTGGCAGCATTCCCCTCTTTAACTATTGGATTTTGTCCTTACTTTTGGTAAAATAAAGAGCTTCTCAAAGAAAAGCTAAAGGAGCTCATTACCACCAAACCAGTATTGCAAGAAATGTAAAAGGGTCTTCTTTAAGAAGAAGAAAGAAAAAAAAGAGGAACATAGTTATAAAGAATAAAATGGCAATAAATATGTACCTATCAATAATCACTTTAAATGTAAATGGCTTAAATGCTCCAATCAAAAGACACAGGATAGCTGAACGGATAAGAAAACAAGACCCATACATATGGTGTCTACAACAAGCGCACTTCAGAATGAAAGATACACATAGACTAAAAGTAAAGGGATAGAAAAAGATATTTCATGCAAATGGAAATGAAAAAGAAAAAAAAAAAACAGGGGTAGCAATAGTTATATCTGACAAAATAGACTTTAAAACAAAGGCTATAACAAGAAATAAAGAAGGACATTACATGATAAAAGGATCAATCCAACAATAGGATATAACCCTTGTAAACATTTATGCACCCAACATAGGAGCACCTAAATATATAAAGCAAATCTTGATGGACATAAAGGGAGAGGTTTATGGTAATACAGCCATAGTGGGGGATTTGAACACCCCATTGACATCAATGGGTAGATCTTCCAGAAAAAAAATCAACAAGGAAACAGCAGCCTTAAATGACATGCTAGACCAGATGGATTTAATTGATATTTACAGAACATTTCACCCCAAAGCAGCAGAATATATGTTCTTTTCAGGAGCACATGGAACATTTTCCAGGATAGACCACATGTTAAGACACGAAACAAGTCTCAATATATTTTAAAACATTGAAATTGTATCAAGCGTCTTCTCTGACCTCAATGGTATGAAACTAGGAATCAATTACAAGAAAAAAACTGAAAAACACAAACACATGGAGGCTAAATAACATGTCACTAAACAATAAATGGGTTAACATGAGATCAGGGAAGAAACCAAAAGTTACCTTGAGACAAACAAAAATGAACACATAACAATTTAAAATCTGTGGGACACAGCAAAAGCAGTCCTAAGGTGGAACACAAGCCTACCACAAGAAGCAGGAAAAATCTCAAACGATCTAACCTTACACTTAAAGGAACTAGCAAAAGAACAACAAACAAAACCCAAAGTGAGAAGGAAGAAAATAATAAAGATCAGAGTGGAAATAACTGGCATAGAGACTACAATACGAAAGGCTGATGAAACCAAGAGCTGCTTTGGTTCTTTGAAAAGATAAACAAGATTGACAAACCTGAACCAGACTCATCAAGAAACAAAGAGAAAGGACCCAAATAAATAAAATCAGAAACAAAAGAGGAGAAGTAACAACTGACACCACAGAAATGCAAAGGATTGCAAGAAAATATTACAAACAGCTATATGCCAACAAATTGGACAATCTGGATGAAATGGATAATTCCTAGAAACATACAATCTTCCAAAACTGAATCGAGAAGAATTAGAAAATCTAAACAGACTGATTACAACTAAAGGAGTTGAAGAGGTAATCAAAAAACTCCCAGCAAACAAAAGCCCAGGACCGGATGGCTTCACAGGTGAATTTTACCAAACATTCAAAAAAGAATTAACAGCTATTCTTCTCATACTATTCCAAAAACAAAATTCAAGAATAGGGAAGACACCCAAGCTCATTTTACAAGGCCAGCATTATTTTCATTCCAAAACCAGATAAAGACACTACAAAGAAAGAAAATTATAAGCTAATATCCCCGATGAACATAGATGCTAAAATCCTCAATGAAATATTAGCAAACTGGATCCAGCAATACATTTAAAAGATCATGCACCATGATCAAGTGGGGATTTATGCCTGGGATGCAAGGCTAGTACAATATTTGCAAATCAGTAAACATGATATACCACATAAGCAAAATGAAGGACAAAAACCACACGATCGTATCAATGATGCAGAAAAGCATTTGACAAAATCCAGCACCTGTTTCTGATAAAAACTCTCAGCAAAGTGGGAATAGATGAAATATACTTCAACATAATAAGGCCATATGTGACAGACCCACAGCTAACATTACATTCAATGGGGAAAAAACTAAAATTGTTTCCCTTAAGGTCATGAACAAGACAAAGATGTCCATCCACTTTCACCACATTATGTTTATCCATCCATCCATCAGCTGATGGATATTTGGGTTGTTTCTATTCTTTTTTTTTTTTTTTTTTTTTTTTTATAAGTAATGCTGCTATGAACATTCATGCACAATTTTTTTTTTTTTTTTAAATATATCTTTATTGGTTTCACAGAGGAAGGGAGAGGGAAAGAGAGAGATAGAAACATCAATGATGAGAGAGTCATTGCTCGGCTGCCTCCTGCATGCCCCGGACTGAGGATCAAGCCCGCAACCCGGGCATGTGCCCTGACCAGGAATCGAATCCCGATCGCCTGGATCCTAGGCTGATGCTCAATCACTGAACCACGCTCTGCCGGGCCTCACACACAAATTTTTGTGTGAACATATGTTTTCAGTTCTCTTGGTTATATACGTAGGAGAGGCTGACATTTCTTTTATCTTTATTTAACTCCCCCATTATAGATGTATTATTTATTGTAAGCTATATAAATCCTTTTTGAAAGTAAATGAGAAATAATACGTATTCATTCATCCTTCCTTTTGAGTCAACCAGTAATTTATTGTGGACTTGTTCTATGCCAAGAACTACTGCAAGCACTCCACATACATCATCTCATTGACTTATCACAACCACCATCATAAAGTTATCGACCTTATTTTATACATGAAAAACCGGAGAAGCCCGAAAGCTTAGTAACTCTCCAAAGGCACAAGGCTAGTAACTGGTCGGACTGAACACTGAACCTGAGATCTTCCCGTCATGCTCTTTTCTTAACTTTATGCTGCCTCTGTGAGGAAAAAAATAGGAAAATAGATGAATAAACCACTGTGGTTTATTTATCATTAATGACTTTTGGGCAATGTTCTTCTAGACAGAAAATCCATGACTGTTCATATTAAGGTTGTTCCTAATTCTAACCTGGAAATGCCTGTTCTTTTTGTGATCATTGCCTTAATCATCTTTTGTCCTGCATATTGAAATCCAATTTACTTTTTAAAAAATTTATCTTTATTGTCGAAAGTATTACTGATGTCCCTTTTTCCCCCCATTGACCCCCTCCACCCCACATCTGCCACACCCCCAGGCTTCCCCATACCAGTGTCTGTGTCCATAGGTTATGCATATATGAATCTAAGTCCTTTGATTAATCTCTCCCCACCCACTCCCCCACCCCGGCCTTCTCTCTGAGATCCCTTGATTGCCTCCAATACTTATTATTCATTGTATTCCATTCTATTGTCATAGAATCCAATACCTTTAATTGATAAATGAGAGCAGAGAGGCCAGAGAGATTGTGCTATATCCAAGAAACATTTTCTATTATATATAATACTAATACCATGGTAAATATGTATAATTTACAAATATATGCATATATATAATGGGAGCATACATTCAAAAATTTTACTGTGTATCTTTGTAGATCACTGGGTCAGTGGGCAAAGATAAGAGGGGGAGTGGGTAGAGGTCCTTGTAGGTCATGCTCAGGGCTTGGTTTGTTCTCAGTGCCATGGAAAGCATTGGAGGATTTTAAGCAGGGAGGGCAGGATCTGAGCATTCTGGCTGCCGTGTGAAGGAGAGACTGAAAGCCAGCAAGGCTGGCAGCAGGGAGGCCAGTTAAGGAGCTATGGCAGGTATCAGGTGGGAAATCATGGTGGCCTGGACTGGCATGTTAGCAGGAATGGAGAAAAGTGGCTGGATTCCTGATATATTTCGGGGGTTGAGTTACGGGACTGGATTATAGGCTGGATGTGGGGGGAGGAGGTGCATTAGAGGAAGGACTGAATGAAAAAATAGCTACTACAGGCTTTGGTGTATGCAACTGGGTGACCCATGGTGCCATTTACCAATTTGAAGAAGGTGGGAGGAGGGACTGGTCTCAAGGTGAGGAGCAGAAATCCCGAGCCCTGCTATGAAATGTAGAGTTGGAGATGCCTATTAATCCTTGAGGCAGAGCTGATGCGTAGGCTAAGGATAGTGGAGTCGAGAAGCAGGGGAGAGGCGGGTGCTAAACCCAGGTCTCCTGACCCTGCTGTGTATTCTCCTCCACTGGTTCAGCTGTTCCCACAGGGATTACATTTTTTAAATAAATAAATAACAAAATAATGATATAGAATCTACAAATATTGAGAGTAAATTAAATTTAGTTTAACCTCCTTTGGATTAAGTAGGAAAACTGAGCTAAAGTCAAAAACGTTGCTGAAAAGTTTTGAGGATCATGGATTTACTTGATTGACTGAATGAAGGCCATGCTTCCCTCCCTGGGAACACCCCAGTGTCACATCCTGTCTCCATTTCCTACAAGGCCCTTTTTTAGTGGTTTTATTTCCCTCCACTTAGGGAGGGTCATGCTCCACAAAGAGAAATAGTACTATCAAGGTGCTTTCTGAACATGAGGTGAGTCCTATACAAAAAATGATTTCTTAGTCTTGGTTGGCCCAAATTATCTTTTTTGTTTTTTCTTTTAATTCTCACCTGTGGATATGTTTTAGAGAGAGGAAGGGAGGAGGGGAGAGAGAGGAAAAGAGAAAGGTTATATATGCCCCAATAGGGGATCGAACCACAAGCTTTTGGTGTACCGGACAACGCTCCAACCAACTGAGCCACTTGGCCAGGGCTATCCAAGTTATCTTGGAATCTCTTCACAGCTTCCAAAGTTTCAGAAAACTGGCAAAGTTGCCAAAAGACTAAATAGAGGCAAACTCAGGCCTCTTGTTTTTCCTTAGATCAGGGTTTCTCAGCCTCGGGACTACTGACACTTAGTGCTGGTTAGTTCTCGTGAGGCACTGTCCTGTGCGTCATAGGATGTTTAGCAGCATCCTCGGCCTCTACCCCCTGGTGCCAGTAGCACTCCCACATATACTCATGACGACCAAAAATGTCTCCAGACATTGACAGATGTCCCTGACTGGAAGGAGGGGGTGCAAAATTACCCCAAGTTGAGAACCACTGACTTGGAGAAAAGAGATTACCCTGGACTCCACTGATCTGTCATCACCTCTAGTTCTAAAAATAAAACCAAAACAAACAAGCTATAGAAAGAAAGGATTAGCTTGCAAATACAGAAGCTGACAGGGTAGTGAGTAAATAGCCTCTTATCTTTTAGAGAATAGTGTAAGCTATTAAAAATCTTTTTACTGCAGAGATATAAGCCTAGGTGATCTAGGGGAAATGTAGGCTCCAAGCTTGAATTGCCAGGGAGCCCTTGTTTTCCAGCTGCAGAGAGAAGGGGAAATCTCCTGCCTTACCCTAGCTGAGTGAGGCTACCTCCCACCTGGCCAGAGCACTGGGCAGTTTCCAGGGTTAAAGACCCACTGCTGTTACCTTGGCCCATAGTAAGTGCTCAATACATGTTTGTCATATGAATGAATGAATGGTCCCTCTTTAAAAAACAGTTAGTGCAGTTTACCTCCTGAAGGCCATGTGTGCCCTCTGGCTAGTCTGGCGAGGTGGATTGTCAGTTTCCTGTATGCAGAATCTGCCCCAGACCCCACCAGGTCCAAGAGGAGTCCCCTGTGAGGAGGTCACGAAGGGAGGAGCTGTGGATGGGGAATCTGGCTGGACCAGTGCACAAAGGCCTCCTCCCAGGAGTCTATGAGCTCTTCTCTTCTCTGTACAGAAAACCAGCCCATCATGAAGAGCCTGACCTTGCCAGCCCTCCCCCTGCCCATGAAGCTGGTGAGCCTGGAGGAGGCTCAGGCCCGGAGCCTGGCTATTAACCATCCTGCTCGGAAGGAAAGGAGGGAGAACAGCCTGCCTGAGATCGTCCCTCCCATGGGCACCCTCTTCCATACTGTCCTTGAGTTACCAGACAACAAGTGAGTGGCATTCTTTGCAATTCTGGGAGATGACTGGGTAGAGGGGGACAGAGGAGGAGGAAACATAGTCTCGGGGCCATGATGGCAGCATGGGGAGGGTGCAGTCTGGGTTGGGGTGTAAGGAAACATTTCATAAGAGAATGGAGCTCTCTCCACACCTCTTCTCGCCAGTGGTTGGTGCCCGCACTCACTGCCCCAAAGTTATCAAGGCCCCGATCTCCCGCCAGAGACCCCAACACCATGATGGAGGTGGGGCTCATAGGTGTCAAGCGTCATGAATAACATCCCTTACACTTTAGTTTAGACAAAACAGGATTGACATTTTCAAAAGGGAGTTTGAAAGGAAAAAAAAGGACTTCCTGCCCCCATTCTTCACCTCCACAGAACATTACAAAGGCGTAGAGATGGATGGAGGACAAGTTGACAAATAGTGCCACTCTAGACTGGGAGGCCTGGGCATGCAGCACTTGGAGATGCCATCTCTGGCTCCCATTCCTCCTCTCAGGCCTGCCAGAGCCCTCCTTCTCCCCAAACACACCAAACATCACTTTAAATCCTAGGGTATTTTCTTTTTCCATTTCTCCCACTCATTTCCCCTCTTGCAACCCTGGTCTTCGCACATCCCTCTGCTCCCCTCGCCCCCGCGGCCACTGTAAGGAGGAGGCAGCAGATGAAACAGGAGTCTCTCCTCGCAGACTGTCGGTGGAGGGGCTGAAGGCAATCTCTTCATTGGAGAGCGTCATCCTCACTGGCCAATATGAAAACAGACGCCTCAGACCTCTTGCCAGCGCCCTCCCCAAGGCGGCAGGACTGTTTCCCTCTGGTGAGGGGGAAGGAGCCCTAGCCATTGCCCAACTGTAGGGGGCGCCTGTCCCGATGTATGCCGCGGGAATGGGACACCTGCAACTCACGTGGTGAGAACCCCTCCATTTCCTGGAGTGCATGGATGGTGCTCTCCCAAGACTGAGCCCCTCTGCTCTTCCCCCTAAATCCCTGGAGAATGAGACTGCCAGGAAGAAGCTGCCTCAGAAGGACCATCAAGTGCATTTTCTCTGTGCCTTCAGCCACACCTAAGGGGCGCTGTACCCCAGTTTATCCCCCCCTGTCAAATCCACCCCAAGGCCAAGTGCTTGAATAAACCAGGCCAGATCCAAAGAAACGCCCCCAGCACTGCAGGTCTCTCTCTCTCTGATTAGATGCTAAAAAACATGTTGGGCTGGAGATCTGGGGGCTCTATGAGAAGCCNGATTGGATGCTAAAAAACATGTTGGGCTGGAGATCTGGGGGCTCTATGAGAAGCCTGTGGAGAAAGGGCTCCCTGTGGAGCCACAAGTTGCAGGGTTTCATCCTGGAACTGGATGAAGTCTGAATGCTGGGCTGAGCCAGAGCAGGGCATGGCATCTGTGGTGACCCCTGGTGGTGACCTCTGGGATCCAGTCCAGCGCTCTCATTTCCAGCCGCCTACTGAAGCAGCCTGGAGCCAGGCATCAGGGAAATGAGAGACACACTAACTACCCTGGGCATTTCCCTGCAGTGACCACGGACTACACCCAGCGGCCTGCCGCTGTCCCAGGCCTTCATCTTTTCCAAAATGCTTTCTCACACACACCCTTTGTAGTCCATGAAAGTCTTCACTAGCCCTTTTCTCACCTGTGGATGTGACAGCAGCCTGGCCCACAGTGCAGGGAACATAACAGGACTGAGGTCTGTGGTGTTTAGTGTTTACTCCTGTAAAAAATAAGAACCTTTGAAAACCCAGGACTAAAGTGCTTACCAGAAGTCCTCCCAGAATTCCCAAAACTGTGTGGTTGCTTGTGACCTTTGAGTCTCCCATCAGTCCTCACCTCTGTTTGCCACACCACTGCCTTTAATGGCATGCCTTTGCCCGTTCCTCTGGGGAATGGGTCCTTTGTTCTGACTCATGAAAGCCTAGCTTGGTCATCTAGGGCATCCCCAAACAGGGTGAGTCAGGCTCAACTTGGATTTTAGAGAGGAATTTCCTGAAATGTCAGAGCCATTCATAACTAGAACATGTTTGGGGTGTTCCTTCTCAAGTTAAAAGCCCCACTGAAATGACCAGTTACCAAACTAACCCCTTATGGCTTGGCTCTTTTAGAAGAAAGCTCTCCAGTAAATCAAAGAAGTGGAAATCAATATTTAATCTGGGACGTTCTGGATCGGACTCAAAGTCAAAGCTGAGTAGAAACGGGAGCGTGTTTGTGAGAGGACAGAGGCTCTCAGGTAAGAATCAACAGCAGTTGTGTTTATGAGATATTTTACCCCCTAATTCTGCTCTCTCAGTCTTTGGTTTGATCACATTAAACACACTAGCCCTGAAAGAGAAATTTATACATTAACTAGAGAGTCTTTCTCTGTGTGCATCTTTAAAGATAATTTTAGATTTACAAAAAAGTTGCAAAAATAGTACACAGAGAACCCATATACTCTTCACGCAGCTTTCCCAAATTTTAACATACTACGTAATCATAATAAATGATCAAAGTCAGATAAAGCAAATATATGGCAAAATGTCAGCCCTTGGTACCAACCAATCTTTAATAATAAAGATTTTATTATTAAAAATAAGAATATTTTTAAGGACATTCCTCAGTCCGGGTGATAATTGTATGCCAAGGACGATAAAGCACAGATGTTTGAAATATTCACTTTTGCCTATTGGAGTAATGAGGGTGTCACAGGGTATAGCAATTACAGTGGTTAAGGTTGTAAATAATAGCAGATCCAACTCAACTGGCTTATGCAATGAAGGAATTTATAGGGACACTCAGATGCAGGGAAGGTTTCAGGGGTCGCCCTGTCTCCATCTCTATGTTTCCTCAGCTGTGCCCATGTCTGTGCATCAGCTTCATTCCCAAACTGGCTTCCTTTGCTGTGACAAGTGGCTGTGGTATTTCCGGGCTTTGACTGTCACTGTGTCCAGAAGGAGACAGGTCATCATTTCAGGTCGCTTGTTCTAAGCAGGGACCCTGTTTTACCAGAATCCCCCATCCTGCTCCCCCCATCTCAGTCATAGTCACTGAGCCACATGGATCCATCCCTATGGCCAAGGGAGTGCCCTGTGCAGATTGGCTTGGGCCTGGGTTCCTGAACCAGTCACTGGGTGAGGAGTGAACTTACAGCCAGATGTACCTAAGAAGGGCAAGGGCTCTGTGAGAAGGGGAAGAGAAATGGATTCTGGGTAGGCATCTACAATATGCAGCATATAGGGAAACATATCCTTCACAAACAACCCGGGAAAGATAGTCCAGGTGAAGAGGGCAGGTTGCCACAGGTATGGTAGATCAGATACAAATCAGAAATTAGGATTCTCAAAGAAGAACTTAAGGGGAGGAGTATCTGGCAAGAAACTCCTTATCTATAATAAGAGATTTGCTTAAGCACATCAAAGAGAGAAATTCAGTTACAGAATTGGTAATTTGATGACAGAGGTTCACCAAGTAATGAAAAGTCAAAAACAACAGAACAGAACAACAAGCAAAAATAAATTAAATGATTTGCCTCGATGTTGACTTAGGGAGATGTCCACCCCTGTGTGGTTTCCAAAAGGAAGAAGCCCAAGGTGGATCAAATGGTGGTAAACTCAAAGAATGCACAGCATGTCCCTGGCCAGGGCTTCTCAGCATGGCTGCACCTCTGAATCGCCCACGGGGTGGTTCACGCCCACAGCAGCTTTGCCTCAGGAGGTCTGTGGTGAAGTCAGAGCACTGGTCATTTTTAACAAGCTCCCCAGGTGATTCTGATATGCAGCCAGGGCTGGAACTGCTGGATTAATATCTCAAAAACAAACTACTCAGCCCTGCTGGGCCTGGCTCAGCACTTAAGCATGGACCTAGGATCCAGGAGATGGCAGTTCAATTCCAGGTCAGGGCACATGCCCGGGTTGCAGGCTCGATCCCCAGTAGGGGGCGTGCAGGAGGCAGCCGATCAATGACTCTCTCATCATTGATGTTTCTATCTCTCTCTCTCTCTCTCTGAAATCAATAAAGATATATTTTTTAAAAAAAGAGGGACAAAGCCTAAATTGAGTTAAGGCTAACTCTGAGTGCTTCTTCTAGAATCTAGAACCATCTCCCTGCTTCCCTTTTATTGCTGAACCCTGGTCTATCCTGAATAACAACAATAACAATAGTTACTTTTTATCAAGCATTTACCCTATTCTAGGTCAGTGCAACCTACTTATTTTATAGGCATTACTCATTTAATCCTCACAGCAGTCCAATTTCTCCTCCTTTTACATGTGAGAAAACTGAAGGTTAGAAAAGGTAAACTACTTATCTGATGTCACAGGGCCCAAAAGTGGCAGAGTTGAGATTCAAAGCCAGGTCCATCTGAATTCAACTTCCCTTAAAGCCACGAGTTCTGGGGCTCCCACTCAGCTTCCAAACTGCCCTCTTTCCCCTCCTAGCAAACTTGACCTAGAAGGAACTACCTTCCAGTTAATTCACCTCCCTGAAAAGAGATGATATCTGTGAAAGTGCCTTGTCCTGTGCCTGGAATAAGTTTTTACTTATTTAAGCTGTATTCTTCCCAAAACCTGCTTAGGTGGCTTAGGGAGATTACATAGAGTCCACCAGGCACATAGTAGGTGCTCAAAAAAGGTTTGTTTGGTTGGTATCTGGCTCCAGGGTGAGGTTGGTGAGTGAGATCTCAAGGAGCAGAGCTGCCCATGGGAGAAAGGTGACCAGTTGCCCTGGGCCCTCTCCCCTGTTGTAACAAATTCCTGAGTGCTGAGAGATGTGGCTATAGCCAAGACTCCTGCTCTCTGGCCTGCCAGACAGGAGGGGCTGCCTGGGGCCTCAGGGTTCTACCCCATAGATGAATCTTTGAATCCTTGTTGCACAATAACATTGGACTCAGGGCTTCTCATTTGCTAATAGCTAGTATTTGACAAAATTATAATTTGTCTTTATCTGTATAATGTTAATAAAACTTTGATCTGCAGATGCCCTGTTTTTATAAAGTCATTCCCAATCAAAAAGTAGGAACATCTGGGGTGGGGTGGGGGGATGTTTTTCAAAAGGGAAAAATTATAAATACTTGGAAAATTGTGCTAAAGAAAGTTTTCTTGTGTGCTGACAGCTGACCTATTGTTCTGAACGCTTCCTCTTACTATGCATTCAACAGGGATATTTTTTTCTTTTGTCTCTAGTGGAAAAAGCTACTATCCGACCAGCTAAAAGCATGGACTCGCTGTGCTCAGTTCCCGTGGAAGGTGAGATTTTACAGTTGTGTTTGGAACTGGGGGGCAGTACAGTTGGGAGACTGGAGTTGCCACACCAGACTTGCCTTCGTAAGCTACTGGGCCCGCTTGTCTCCAGTCACAGTTATGCACAATTCCCCAGGCCAAATCCCTCCCTGGCTTTTTCTGAATTCAAGGAGTTCACAAAGACCTTGCATTAACCGCCCCCTCTCCCCCCACTCCACTGCAGGGCGAGGCCTAAAAGGGCCACCCTCTTTCTCCAGCCTTCCTCTAACCACAGGTGGGGACAACAGCTACTTTACGTTCACACGTGAACCAGGTAGAAGGGCAACTCCTGAAAACCATGGCAAGAGCCAGGCACTGATTTATACCTCAGAAGTTTGTGCCTCAATGCTTACGTGTCCTGAATTTGCGTGTTTCCATAGACGTTAGCTTCACCATACTTGTCAAGTCATGATTTTGTGTCGGTAGATTCATTCATTCATCAATAAACATTGATAGGCACCCGCCTGGCATGTAGCTGGCCATCCCTGTTGGAGTAGATGTGTGCACAGTGGGGCGGACTTGCCTGTACCTCTCTTTCGCTGAGCAGCCCCCGCACTGCTGCAAGTTACAAAGCACAGGGCTTCTCTAGCAGTAGACTAAACTCCCCATATTCACCCCATGGCTTTCCAATCCCTTTCATAGAAAACATTTTGCTCTGTGATAAATGAAACAATCTGAAATAACAGAAAATCTTTAGAACAACTTTTAAAAATAATTCTTAACTTGTAAAATATTCAGTGAACTCTTTTTACACTGACTCGATACTTCTTTCATTTTCTCACCTTTACATTCATCTGTTTGCTTTGGTTTTGAAACCTCTTGAGGCAGTTCTTGCCAAGTTTTACAGAATTTAACATTTCGAAATCCAGGTCAGCGCTTTCATAGGCCCTGGACAGGTTATCCAGCATCTCGAGTCTCAGTTTCCTCGGGTGTTAGAGAGAATGACTCTCCCCTGCAGCGCAGTCGTGAGAATTTTACACCTAAGGTTGCATGTCCAGCAGAGCCCTTGGTACCTAGGTGGGAATTATTTGCCAGATTTCCAGCAACTCACTTGTCATCTCCCAGCTGCTTTATTTCCCAGACAGATTTTTTCCTTCTTTGTCTTCACTTCTCAGTCCGTCATGAACTGACTCCTCACAACTGGGCTGTGTAAGGCTGAGTTCATCTGCACTTCTAGTTTCTCAGCCTCGGAATCAGCAGGAGGAAGCCTGGGAACGGCGAGGAAGGTCTAGCTGAGAACAGCATTTGTTTCCGTGCCTGGAAATCAAACCCGGTTGGGTCCATCTGGCAGAGGAGGCTTAACACAATAAGTTTTAAAGTAAAATAAGATTCTGTTATTTTGCCCTTTTCGTCTCCTTCGATTTGAGCAAACATCATCCTGTCACCTCCGATCCATCTGTGTGTTTTCTCATGATCGACGTTTCATGCCTGGCAGACAGCCGCTCTGTTCAGCAGTCTTAGCAACGGCCTTCTTTTGGAAACGGCTCTACCTGCAAAGTTGATAATAGATACATGTGACACAACAGCCAGTGGCCCTACAGGGCATCAGAGCAGAACAGGCACATGAGAAGATGCTTCCTGTCTTGTCAACCAGGTGTTATGAACCTGCCTCTGTCGGGGTGGCTGTGCCCTCCGTAGAATGCTCTGCCTTTCCGAGAGTCAGGTGTTGTGTGCCTTCTCGACAGGAAGGCCGTGCCGTTGTGTGTATGCCGGGCTGCTGATCGTGTGTTTATCTGCTTCTTTACTAGGGAAAGAAACCAAAGGCAATTTCAATCGAACAGTCACCACCGGTGGGTTTTTCATTCCAGCATCGAAAATGCATGTGACCAGCACTGGCAGCTCCTGCGACCTCACCAAGCAGGAGGGTGACTGGGGCCAGGAGGGGATGCCAGCGGGGGCCGAGGGGGGCTNGTGTGTGCCGGGCTGCTGATCGTGTGTTTATCTGCTTCTTTACTAGGGAAAGAAACCAAAGGCAATTTCAATCGAACAGTCACCACCGGTGGGTTTTTCATTCCAGCATCGAAAATGCATGTGACCNTGTGTGTATGCCGGGCTGCTGATCGTGTGTTTATCTGCTTCTTTACTAGGGAAAGAAACCAAAGGCAATTTCAATCGAACAGTCACCACCGGTGGGTTTTTCATTCCAGCATCGAAAATGCATGTGACCAGCACTGGCAGCTCCTGCGACCTCACCAAGCAGGAGGGTGACTGGGGCCAGGAGGGGATGCCAGCGGGGGCCGAGGGGGGCTTTGACATGAGCAGTGACCGAAGCCAACTCCAGGGCGCTCAGGCCCGGCCCCCGCCTGAGCAGCTGAAGGTGTTCCGGCCCATCGAGGACCCCGAGAGTGAGCAGACAGCCCCGAAGATGCTGGCTATGTTCTACACCTCGAGCGACAGCCCCAGCAAGTCTGTCTTCACCAGCAGCCTCTTCCAGATGGAGCCCTCGCCCCGGCACCAGCGCAAGGCCCTGAACATCTCTGAGCCCTTCGCCGTGTCCGTGCCCCTCCGTGTATCAGCTGTCATCAGCACCAACAGCACCCCCTGCAGAACACCCCCAAAGGAGCTGCAGTCTCTTTCCAGCCTGGAAGAGTTTTCTTTCCAGGGGTCAGAGAGTGGAGGTTGGCCTGAAGAGGAGAAGCCCCCAGGAGCTGAGACTTCTACAGGTAAAGCAGGGGAAAGAGGCTGTCTTTCCACTGCAAGCGATTAAAAACCAGACTTAAATTTGCTTCAGTAGAGTTTGCAAGACAATGTAGCAAAGTGGATAGGACTGGGGACTCTGAGCCAGACCACCTGTCAAGTAGCTGTCAGTCACAATCACAATTTATCTTTGCAGCTTTGGGTAAATAACAGGTTTCTTGTGACCTTAGGCAACAAGCTTGACTTCTCAGGGTCTGAATCTACTTATGTATGGCGTGAAAGGTTGGATTAACCAGGGTTTCTCAATCTCAGCATTACTGACTTTTGGGGCTGGGTAATTTTTTTATTGGGGGGACTGTCCAATGCTTTGTAGAATATTTAACAGCATCTGTGGCTTCTACCCACTAGATGCCAGTAACCACTCCCACCACCCACTTGTGACAACCAAAACTGTCTCTAGACATTGTCAAATGTCCCCTGGGGAGGAGAGGAGCAAAATGATCTCCAGTTGAGAACCACTGGACTAGATGGTTTTCCATCCCTGATAGTCTGTGACTCTGGGATCTGAGCACAGGACATTGCTGGGAGGAAAGGGTAGAAAATGTGAGAGAGCAGTGAGCTAGGAGGATCCCCTCCATCCTTGTGAAACAGGACTAGTCTAGGTCAGTAACTGTGCTGGGAACAGCCTCTCTTAAAAGGAGTTGTCAGTCTCTTTCAGCTGATAACTCTCATCTTCATTGCAGCATCTGTGTCTAAGAAGGTGGCTCTTGAGGATGCCAAGCCAGGACCAGAAGCAGCGAGGACAGTGGAATGCAGCAAAGGCCCTTCCCAGGACCCAGGAGCCCAACTGGAGAAGAAAACCTCGGAAATCTCCCTGAGCCGTCAACATTCAAGTGAATTGGAGAAGAGGCCCGATCCAGAGAAGGTGGTGGAGGAGGGGCGAGAGGCTGGCCAGGTGGAGCCCAGTGCTCTGCAGCAGAGCCCCATGGCCAGAGCAGAAGCAGTGTTTCTCCATGAGATGGTAAGGTGGACCCACTGTCTGGTCCAAACAATGGAGTCCTCTTTTTCCCAAGGGCTCTTAGTACAGCTTAAAGTAGAATTTTTTTATTTTTATTTTTTGAAGAACCAGTTTCTGCCAAAGGGATTTTAGGAGACAACTTTCTAATCAAATCTTGGGACTTTTTTCAGAGTAATAGGGAAGTAACCATCCTGCTCAGGTTCCCCAGGACAGACTCAACTCTAAGTATTTCTGACCTGAAGTTGCCATAAGCCAGTAATATGCCCTTAGGTTGTAATGACTTTCAGTCCCAGAAGCAGCACAAAATCTGCTTGTCATACCCTGGTCTCAAAGGTGATGACCGTTCATGGAGCCAGCTCTCTCCTTCCAGACATCCTGGATGGACAGTGTCTATGTTTGTTAAACCTTCTGTAATATTTCCAGAATCCATTGCTTCCTCCTGTGGCTTCTAGAGAAGTTAAAACATGATAGCAGAGCTCACTAAACCTCTTCTGCTTTTTAGAGGTGGAATTTTCCAAGGTGTTTTGGGGTGTCCTTGCATAAGATGAAGGTGTGAGGAGGTTTTCCACAGAGGCGCCCTGCATTTGGGATGCTGCTCTGTGACCTGGAGGAGTGTGTCAAAGGGAGATGGGCAGCTCTTCTCCTTAACTTGCTTCCAGGGTCTTGGTTTGCAGGACATGCACAAAGACCCATGTGCTAGAAGTTAGGGCAGGGCAGCACAGGGACACCACAGTGGCCTCAGGAGGCTGAACAAGGTTCCTGTAAGATGTGTTTGCATTTGTAGAAGAAGAGCACAGAGATTATTATAGTGATTAAATTCTGGGGGAGATCGATTATGAATGGCATTTGCTTTAAGAAAGTGATAAAGGTAGCACTGGAAGGAGAACCAGGTTGAGTTCATGGGAACGAGTAAAAGCTCCAGTGCATTCATTCATTTAAACTCATGCATTAGACATCTACTTAGTGCCAGGCACTCTGCCGAGCACTTGGGATCACTGCAGTGTACAGGACGGTCACTGTCCCTGTCTTCTTGGAGCTGACAGCTTAGTAGGTGAAAGGTCACCAAAGAAGTAATTTTTAAGGTGACATGGAAATATGGAGTTTTGTGGGAGCATATAACAGGAAGACCCAACCTAGTCAGAGGGAAGAGAAGGGTCACAAGGTCAGGGAAGGCTTCTCTGAGGAACAGAGATTGAGACTGAGAACTTCGCTAGAAGAGCAGAGTGAGAGGCAGAACAGAAAGAGAAAGACTCCCGGGCAGAAAGAGTAAGAAGTGCTGTGAATGTGGGGTGGGAAAGAGTGTGGAAGATTTAGGGAAGGGGAACCAGGCCAGAGAAGGTGAGGTTCAGGGGGAAGCAGGGGCCGGGGCAGGCAGGGCTGCTTGGAAGGATTTAGAGATTAACCTAAGGGCAATGGAAACTTTTCTGATTGGTTGGGAATGTTATCTTTAAAGGTCATGCTTTTCTGTGAGGAGAATGGCTTGGAAAAAAGGGCAGAGAGTAGGGGGGTGCCAGTTAGGGGGCTAGTGTGTGCAGAGCAAGTGTGATGAGGTGGTGGCTTGGACTGGGGCGGGGCACTGGGGATAGAGATGGGAGGGTTCAGGAGCTATTCAGAAGGCAGAGTGAGCAGGACTTGGTGAAGGACTGGCTGAGAGTCAAGGACACCTCATGGGTTTCTGATCGGAGCAAACGGGTGCACTGTGGTTCACTTACTGAGATGGCACAGAGTGGGGTGCAGGGGGGCTTAGATGTTCATTTGCTTATCTAAATGTATCGATTCTTAGCAAAGGATCACTTAATGTAGGTGCTGAGGAAAAGGAAGAGATGAATAAAAGGCTGCCCCTGCCCGGGAGGGGGTCACAGTCTAGTAAGTGAAATAGAAACGTAGACAAATAAATGCAGTACAGTAGAATCGGGTCACAGAAAACATTCATGCCTTCTGACCGAGGAGCCCAGTCCTGGGGAGCTATTTGAAAGAAACAGCTCAAAAGAAAACAGCGAACCCATTTTGATTCAGCAGACCCTTTCCTTGGTGACTGTTCCTGTAGACCAGGCACCACCTGGCCTGGAGGAATCAAATACAAATGGTCACGCTCCCTGACCTCAAGGAGCGCACATTCCGTTAGGAAAGGTGAGACAAGCACCAAACACACCGTGATAGGAAGCGACACGTGGTCAGAGCCCGGTGAGAAGTGCTATCAGGTCGGCAGCTGGTCAGACTTCTCGGAAAGGCCCGAACCCCCACAGGATGGAGATGCCTCCCGGATGCCTCTCCTTGGAACAGCATCAGGCCTTGAGACAAGAAATGAAAGGAACTGACCGTTGTTCCCCGGGGCTGACCAGGCCTCCCTTCACCCCTTTCGTGTCTGAGCCTGGGTTTTGTGTAGGGAAAGGGAGGAGTCAGACAAAGAGAAGCTGGACTTGAGGAGAGAACAAGGGACAGTAAAGCAGATGGGGGAGGAGGCACCCACCACATTCACAGTGGTTATCTTGGAGAGTAGGAATATATTTTGCTATTTCTTTCTGGTAATCTGTGTTCAACTTTTTTCCATGTGAAATATGTATTTCTTTGATAACAAGGAGAAAGAGCTATATGTATTTAGTTGCACAGCAGGTTTCAGGGCAAGAGTTCACATTTTCATTGCACTGGGAGACTCTCATTCTTGTGTGCCATTCAGGGAACCTGAGGTTAAATGAGACCAGGCGTTTTGTTTGTTTCATAAGGCACCAGCTCACAGGATTACACGCTTATGTTCCAATGAAGACACAGCTGGCTCTCAACCCTGGTCCGCTCCGGTGTGATTTAGGAAAATTGTTTAATCTATTTGAACATAAGTCTCGCCATCTCTAAAGTAGAAGTAATTATAGTGGTAGTTATCTCTACCTCTAGAGATAGTGGTTGATGGGAAAGTTAAACAAGAAAATACAGTTAAAGTACAGTTGGCCCTCGGTATCCCCAGGGTGATTAGTTCCAGGACCCCCTTGGATACCCAAATCAGGTATGCGCAAGTCCCTTATGGGAAATGGCACAGTACTTGTATACAACGTATACACAGTACTTTAAATCATCTACAGATTTAAATACCTAATACAATGTACATGTTAGGCAAATAGTTATTATACTGTATTGTTTAGGAAATAGTGACTAAAAAAAGTCTGTACATGTTCAGTACAGATATCATAGGCCTAACTACAAGGTAACATTCCCCCCTCAATATTTCCGATCTGGAGTTGGTTGAACCTGTATATGTGCAGGCGCCACACCCCAGATCCGGAGGGCCTTTATGTTACAGCACATGTTAAGCACTGAATAAACATCCGGTTATTAGTGCTGTATCCTTCATTTGCTGAGGTAGCACAGCTCAGTCCCTTCACTCTCCTGGCGGACGGTGAGGACGGCAGCCCCGAGACTCCTTGGCTTTAAAATAATCTGTTTCTTGGTGTTTTTCAGGATGAAGATGATCTGGCCAGCACCTTGATTTGGCCTGAGATTCAACAGGAGCTGAAAATCATTGAATCTGAGGAGGAGCTGTCCTCGTTGCCACCGCCTGCTCTAAAGAACAGCCCAACTCAGCCCATTCTGGAGTCAAATCCAAGGCCTTTTGCTCCCCCTGAGCCTCCCGGGAGCTTGCCTTGTGTCTCCACCTCAGCTCCAGTCTCCACCCCTCTGGAGGAGTGGACTAGGGATCCAGCCAAACAGAGCACACACGAGGCTCCCACAGCAGCCAATAGAGAAAAGCCAGAGACAACCAGCAGCCAACATAGATCTGAGGCTGAGAAGGGCCAGCGCCCAGACCCCACCAGCCTGGCTCCTCTGGAAATCATTCCACTTGAAAAGGCTTCTTCACAAGCAAGGGTGGAGGTGAGAGGCCCAGAGAACCTGTCTCCTGGGACCCCACCTGCTCCACCGCCTCCAACACCTCTGGAGGAGGCACCTCGAGTCCAGCTATTGAAAGAGGGCCCTGAGAAGGAAGATTCATCAAAGAATTTGAGGACAAATCCATATACAGACCAGCTGAAGTCCAAAGGCAGTCCTGGGACCCCCAGTCTTTGTCAGGGAGACAAGGCCTCTCCAGGACAAAGCGAGAAGCTAAAGTCAAAGAATGCTGCTCCTGATGGGAAAGGTTCTGGTTTTCCAAACCCAACAAGGGAGGTTGAGCTCTCCCCACAAGGAGAGGGGCATGTAGCCCATTCAGTACAGGAGCCCTCAGACTGTGATGAAGATGACACTGTGACAGACATTGCCCAGCATGGCCTGGAGATGGTGGAGCCCTGGGAGGAGCCCCAGTGGGTGACAAGTCCCCTTCATTCCCCCACCCTGAAAAATGTGCAGGAGGCCCAGGCGCAGGGCGCTCAGGGCCACCGATTGGAGAAGAGACTTTCCCACAGGCCCAGCCTTCGTCAGAGCCATTCCCTAGACAGCAAAACCACGGCTCAGAGCCAGTGGACTCTCGAAGGTCCCTCCTCCAGCAGCTGTGCTAATCTGGAAGCTGAGAGGAACCCCGACCCTCTGCAGCCCCTGGCGCCCAGGAGAGAGATTACTGGAAGGGATGAGAAAGCCCTGAGATCCTTCAGAGAGTTCTCTGGCTTGAAAGGGACAGAGGCTCTCCCCAGCCAGAAGGGGCCAGGTGGTTTGCAGCCCAAAACAGCAGAAACCAGCCCTGTCGGCCCAGCAGAAAGAAAGGAATTAGGGACACACCTAGGGCACTGCAGCCCTCAGATTGAGCAAGGCAGTGTGCCTAGCCCAGAGAGCAGCAAGGAGAGTTCACCTCATGTGCAGGAAAGCATCTCACCTGGAGAGCATCCCCCCAAGTTACAGCCGAAGAGCACCGAGTGTGGGCCCCCCAAAGGGAAAAACAGGCCTTCTTCCCTGAACTTGGACTCGGCCACTCCCATCACTGACCTCTTCCGGTTGGAGAATGTGGCCTCGTTTGGTTCCCCTGGAATGCAGCTCCCTGAGCCAGAAGACCCGGCGGTCACATGGATGACCTCATCTCACTGTAGAGTAGACCCCTGGAGGGTTGACTCGCAGGACTCTCAGGACCTGGACATTGTGGCTCACGCCCTGACAGGCCGCCGGAACTCAGCTCCCGTGAGCGTGTCGGCCGTGAGAACCTCCTTCATGGTGAAAATGTGCCAGGCCAGGGCAGTGCCCGTCATCCCCCCCAAGATTCAGTACACGCAGATCCCACAGCCGCTGCCCTCTCAGGGCCCAGCGGAGGGGGGGGCTCAGCCTCCGGACAGGAGCCAAGAGGCGCCCAGCCCCACGGGCGGGACCTCTCGGAAACCTGCCGAAGGCGACTCTCTCCCCCCCTTGGAAAGCCCCAAGGAAGAGAAACCGAAGCAGGGTGCAGGAGCCGCGGAGTCCTTGCCGCTGGACGCCACTGCACCCCGCAAGTGTGAGGGACCCGGCCTGTCCCCGGAACCGGCTGTGGCTAACCTGCTGGCCTCCCAGGATGCGGTCGTGCAATGCAGAAAGCGCACGTCAGAGACAGAGCCATCTGGGGACAACCTTCTTTCTTCAAAAATAGAGCGGCCGTCTGGGGGTGCTAAGCCGCCGCACAGGTCCAGGCCGGGGAGACCTCAGAGCCTGGTCTTGTTCAGCCCCCCTTTCCCTGTCATGGACCACCCGCCTCCTCCTTCCACAGGGCCGGACCCCAGGGTCCTGCTGTCCCCCATCAGAAGTCCCACCCAGACCGTTTCCCCTGGCCTACTTTGCGGGGAGTTGGCAGAAAACACGTGGGTCACACCAGAAGGGGTCACGCTTAGGAACAAAATGACCATTCCTAAGAATGGCCAGAGACTAGAAACCTCGACCAGCTGTTTTTACCAGCCCCAGCGGAGATCGGTCATTCTGGACGGAAGAAGCGGGAGGCAGATAGAATGACTTCAGATCATCTGCTGGTGTCTGGAAAAAAAAAAAAAAATGCCACAATTCATCTGGAACTTATTACAGGGCCAGCTTGCCGTTAGTCCAGACGCAGGCTACCCAAGTTTGGGCTTATTCTGGCCTCTTCTTCTCTTCCTTCAGCCTTTTGACCATTTATTAATTAGCCCATTAGTCAGAGGAGAAAGGTCAAGGGAAGGACCAAGTGATGAAATCTAGATAAGTCTGCATGAGCAGGTGGGGAAGGTGAGGTAAGGGAGCGGGCGAAATGCTCACTCCAGCGACACCTGGGGCTTGCCTGTGAGTCGCATTACTGCCCCACCGCCCTTGCCTACAGCCGTGGCTCGCTGGATGGGATAATGACTTTTGAAAGAAAGAGAGATCCTTTGTCTTGAAAAATGCTGTTACTGAGGTTTGAAGACCTCCTCTTTATTTCATGCTTTTTAATGCTTTGTAAACGTGAACTCTCCAGAATAGAAGCAGATTTGAAAAAGCAAACTAACGTACACTTAGATCTCCCAGTGGGTGAATTTACTCTGGGAGTAAATTTTCTCTTTCCCTGGAATTCCTGCTGACCAGCCCAAGATGGCTCCATATGCCAGCGTAGAAAACCGGAATCCGCACTCAAGAGCCAACTCTGAGACTGGCACAGTCTAAGAAGACTTTCTGGCCCTCGCTTTTATTAATTTGGGACTCCAACTGCCACTATCCTGACCTCTGATTTGTAAATCCAGTAGGAGGGCAGGGTGGGGGCTGAGCTGAGGGTTACCTCGATGAAATGTGCCGTGTCTTCATTCAGGTATGCAATAGTGAGTCATCCGCTTGCATTCCAACATCACAGTCCCCAAACAGGATGTCACCTTAGAGAAAAGCCTCACACGTAGACAAAACTACACTCCAAGTGGAATGTGTTTAAATGGTGAGGCATTAGCAGAAAACACCTCTAGCTCAGCTTCTCTCTCCTTACACACCAGGCTGGGACAGGAGTGCAGGAGATAAGGCAGAGAGCCCTAGGAGGGGTGGGAGAAGAGCCCTACCTAGCAAGGCAGCCGTCCCACCACTTGATGGCAGCTGCCCTTCTGAAAATGTATTTCACTTTAGCCAGTTGTTGCCTTCTTTTCTCCCTCTCCCTTCATTGCCGAAGAACAGCTGTGAGGCACCCTTCCACAATCCCCCTCATCCGCCACCCACCCCAGGCACTCAAACTGGCCCTTCTCCTGTCTATATAAAAACAGAAGCAATAAACCAACCTGATTTTATGTCAGTTATTTAGAACTTCAAATGGTTCTTTCCCTTTCAGCTGGAGAGAGGAAGAAGAACCAATATAACCTGCTGGCAGATTTTTGGTGCTCCCCCGAAAAAGGGCTTCACAGGAGCCCTTCTCAAGGGCAAACCCATCAGGGTATCAGCACTTTCAAACCTTCTAAGACAACTACCTTGTTTGAGAAACAAGAAAAATAGGCCTACTTTTCGCCCTGTGCACCTCCTCTCAGGTTCAAGTCTGGCTGAACTCTGTCCAGAAGCTCAGTCATTGCAGAAATTTCTCTAAGGGCCAGCAGTACCTCTGAGCAGACCTCACATCCCAGGCTGGTGCTGGGCTGGGTGGGAGATGAGCTAAAGTTACCTCCTCCAGTGAGAAACTGGAAGCTGGTGCCCTGCAACAGATACGTGTTCCTCTCTCCTTTCTTCCCCGATAGGCCCTACAGACAGTTTGGAAACCTGTCCTATACCTTCTAAGCCGGTGTCTGTAGCAGGGGTAAGTGTCTGTAGCAGGGCAGGCCAGCTGCTGAGTCCTGCTTCCAGAGGCACTGAGACGAGCGAGCCGCGGGAACAGTCAGTAGGCCTTTGGTCAGTGTCGTTGCATTCTCAGACCAACAGCCAGTGAGATGTCACCCCTAAGAGAAGTCGTAGGGTATGGCATTCCCTCCCCACCCCCACTCCAGGGAAGCAACGTGAAGAAATATAGTGGTGACAGATGAGAAAGGCCATGTTCAGGAGATTTGAAAAGTACATTCCTGCCTTATCAGAAAATGTGGGCGGATAGATAGGCTTTCTGTCCATCTCAGTGCACTGTGGCATCCTCGCCTTGATAAAGACCGTGTTCCAGGGAGAATGCCAGAGAGGGAAGGATCTGCACTTTGCCTCACCAGCAGGACTCTGAGCCGAGTAATGAAACATTTCAACTGCTTTGTGATTATTTTACATTTTTGTCTGTAACATTTAGAGACTATATTTTTATTTGGGCATAGGCTAAGAAGCCACTATCTACATGTTCACAAGTGAGTTCAACTTAGGGCACCCACGTTGATTTATTAAGTGACTGCCCTGTTCCCGAGACTGACATCTTTCATTTGTAGGGTCATCTTCATGAGCATGTGAGTTATGGGGTTGTCATCATGAGGCACAATGACAGCTGTCTGGAGATATTTCCTACGCCGAGCTTCCCTAGCCAGTCAATCCAGGAGGCCTTGGAAGCTGCCTCACTTCTCAGTGGCCCGCCGCTGAAGCCTGGACTTCTCCTCTGGCTATCACCCAGCTTGTCCGCTGTCAGAACATGCTCAGAAACTTCCTGTGGGCTGGGGCTAGCCTGGCGCTGAGGAAATTCCATTCCGATGCAAAGAAAACTTATTATATATAACTCCTGAAATTGTCCCTCAAAATGCCCTGAGATTACCTACCTGGTCGGTCACCCACTTGGGGCTGAAAAGTGAACCCCCTGAGAATGGCTGGTTGGGAATCAGATCCCGTCCCGGGGACAGGAGAGGCGCTGATAGGTTTAGGAGGTTCTAGAGAGGGCTGCAGAACCAGATGCTCAAAGGGCTGCTTCAACTGTCAGTCCTCTAAGTGGGGGTGGCTGATTTTAAATGTTGAATTTGAAGTGTTTTCTTTCAGTGTTAATGGTTGCTTAAGAAGAGAATAACCTATATTTATTTGCAAAATGGCCTTCCTAGGCCAGCTTTTTTTCTTCTCCTGAAATGGGCTAGGTAGAGGGAATTGGTTTTTATTTTCTGCTTCACATGGAATATGAAGAGACCTGACCAAGAACCCCATTAAGACACTAGTAGCCTAAAATTCAAAACATTGATTATGTCAAAATTCTGGATTCTGGGGAAATAAAAAACGTAAACATTGTTCCCCTCAGCAGATAATTTTTATCAAGAGCTTAGTATTATTGCGCTGGGTATTTTAGAACTCTTAAATCCTTGAAGAGTCTAATGAAAAAGGGGAGAGGAATGGTAGCAAATGAAACAGCCTATAGACAGACAGCCAGGAGCAAGATTTAAAACCATTAAGTTACCAAATGAAAGCGGAAGGGGGGGAATGTAGCAACTAGCATCTTTTAGTAGGATTGTTAATAGTGTTCAAGTCACCTACTGACTGTCATCAAATCAAACACAGTTGCAAATCCAATAGAAAGTACTAGGCTGAGAATTTTGCTTTGATCATTAAAAGAATTAGAGAGTAGAAACTAAGAATAAATAGTCCTGAGGTTTTGTGTGGTTTTAACTGGTTGGGTTGTGAAGTCCTGTTGGATCTCTGTAGATATGCAAGGTAATACCAGTGTTCCATACTCCTTGAGAGTGATTTTAGGGACTTCTGTCATCACAAAATGGGTTAACTCCTGTTGACGGTGAAGGAATAGGTCCAAGATAACACATGATAATCACATTTGACTAAAGTTGGGTAGGACAGTCATTTGTCTGCATAGGCCGTGGGTTCCTGCCTGAAGAGGTGCTGGAGAGCAGAAGATTCATTTATCTGGGATTGGAAATGGAAGAGGCTCAGAGAAGGTCCAATTCCCACCAGGATTGATTAGAGCTAGATTCTACCACACCTGTCCTATCTGATGACAATATGAATCTTGGGGTTAAGTGTTGCCAGGAGGATGATTTTAGGCACTTCCAGCAGGAAGTTCAGCTCAAAATGTGGAGTAACAAAGAAAGTCCTCTGTCAACACCTTTTCTAGAGAAGTCAGGACAGAGAAGAGGGAGCGAGCACCTTTCCAGGCATGAAGAGGAATGGGAGCCGGTAGAAAGGTACTTGCCTGAGATCAGTGTCAGTCCAGATAGGATAAAATTGGGGAACAGCAATGATTGATTAGCACACAGTAGGTAACTTAGTAGCCTTGAGGTTCATGAGCAATGCAGGGATCACTTCTCTACGAGGATGAAGGACGTAACTAAATATAAGAAACCCGTGAAGTACACAGCCATGCGTTTTACTGGATGAATCACAATGCTTTGCAATAACTTAATGCCATAGTACTTCCTGGCTTATAATTCTGCAAGGTAAAGCACTTTCTCAAAGGAGTCTATTAGAAAGCCACGTGATTTCAGCTGTTTGTTGAGCTTGACGAATATGTTTCCAAAGATATAATCAAAATGTTTTTCTATTAATTAAAAAAGTATAAATATTAAACCTATCCATAGAGACATTTAAGTGTAATTAAAACAGATTGTTATGCTTTTAAAAATGTACTCTAATAAATGATATAAAATGTAATGCTTATGATGGCACTGTGAACTAGAGGAGGACATGGGGTCATCAAAACTGGTGACAGGAAAAGGGTATTATGTGCATCAGGCTCAGTGTTCTAGTTCTGGTTGATGTTTTTTATTACTTCAAGGTTTGGTTTCACAGCAAAAGTCCTGATGATTTGTTCTCATTTTAGCTCTTAGTAATTGTCAAACACTTGCAACCTCACTCTCTTACAGATGCAATCACACGTCACCCAAGGTCCCAGTATAAATCAGTGGATATTGTAGTGAAAAATCAGAAGAGAAGAAAAGCTACGGCTTCTCAAAACCCCACAGCTCAGGAAGTTTGGGTCCAACTACACCGAACTCACTTTTCTTTTTATCATTTGAATCCATCAGGGGGAGACTCTTTTTCATTTGAGTGATTATTTTAATGATGCTCTGGGGGTAAAAAAGCAGAAGTTTGTAATCTTGGCATATATTATCACAAAAAAGGGGCCGGGGGGTGCTCAAAATGTTGAAATGAGACCCTTAGGAAAACAGTTACACAACCCAGGCTCCCAAGCTGGTGGTATTTACAGGGAAGGGTATCATAGCCAAGGGGATACAAATACGAGCATCCGGGTAACAATATTCCATTTAGAGCATCACACTCCCCGGCCTGCTCCCGGCAGCTCCGCTGCTGCCCTGCCTCTCTCCTGCGCACTCCCCGCCCCTCTTCCGTTTCCCTCCCGCCGGCACTGGCCCCGCAGGGCTGCCCTCACCCGGCTTCCCCACGGCTGTCCCGCAGCCCTTCTCTCCTTACAGCCTCTTCGCTGAGAGCTGCCCCCACTGCCTGGATTCGGGAAAGCCTGACACTCCCCTGAGGACACTTCTTTCCCTGAACAAAAGGCTGCGCATTTTTCCCAGGCTACAGTCTACGCAGAGCTGAGGTGTTCTCCCGTTCCCCGCTTCTGCACCGTTGTGTCTCTCCATCCCATACAAAAATCTTTTCACCGAAATGAATGGTAGCCAGCTATTTTCACTTGTACCATTCTTCGTGGCCACGATGTAGTCGATGTCCCAGATTTCCAAGGGTTTGGCACCAGGCTCCCCCGTTTCCCCTCGACCCCATGTCCCACCATCATTCTGGGTGAGGTCAGTGGTCCTGAGGAAAACCCACCCGACGCCTTTGCCACAATTGCTAACAGCTTCTACTTCTACTCAGTGTTGGCCATTTCTTCTGCGGCGACAGGTCAGGCTGTTTCACAACCCAGAAGGCTGCGGCCCTATACCCGTTCCATTCTCAGGACTTCTCTTATCCTAGCCATTTCCCTTTACCTGCTCAAGATTACTAACGCCTGGCCCACCCTACTCTTTCTGACAGACAGTCCCCCCCCAGACTGCCTTCCCTGGCCTTTTCAGACGCCAAGGTGCATCATCTCGACTATTCCCACCAGCACCGTTCACTCTCGACTAGTCCTTTGGCCTTGCCTGCTTGGCAAACCTCCAAACTAGAACCAGGACCCTTACCACCCATCTTTTCTTTTACTGTGTCTTTTGAGTTAGACCACAGATGATCATAAAACCATGGTAGGAGAGCCTTTGGAAATTTATGGTTTACCACCTCAGCAGTGGCCTCATTCCCAAAACTCGCACACGCTATTCCACTATTCCAACCCCCTCCTACCTGCCCCCCCCCCC